GATAGATAATTATTATAGTCTGCTGATTTCTTCATGTGATCTAAGATGAAATCATGAGGTATGAGAGAATACTGCCATTTCCTATTATATTTTCTTATTATATCAAATAGTGATAATACAGCTAGCTTTCTGACCTGCCAGTGAAAAATGAAAAGTTCCACCTCTATTTTTTTCCGCTGTGGACTCTTCTAGAGTCATGGCATAGAGATCACTAAGTCATTGCCTTTCAGCAGCCCAGCTTGTCCTTCCTTGAACAAAGTGCGGCGATTCCGCACTTCCATGTGATTTTGGAGGTGGTGGGGTTTTTATGTCCGTCTGCTGAGGCTGGAAGAGAGGCTAGGCAAGAAACTGAGTTTCGAAATAGTCCTGTCAATATGCATTTAATGATTTGTTTTCCTTCTGATTTTTTTTTTTTTTAAAACTGGTTTGGAGTGAGTGGTGGTCCTGTGGATGCTTGGCTGGAGATTGCTGGCTGCTGCTCCCAGCCTGGCGCGCCGGCGGGACATGGCAGCGTGGCGTTGACCTCGGGCGGGAGGATGGGCTGCGTGTCCGTCTCGTGCCCCTTCCCGTCCCATGTCTCTGATGAGGATAGGGAGAGGTCATCAGTGGCGAGGCAGAAGCGCACCCACAGAGAGAGTACAACATTATTACCTGAGGAGCAAAGCTAAGTTTATTAGAGCCAGCTCAATACTGAAATGCGAAGTGCAAGTGATGCTATTGGTAAGCTCGGGTTATCATGAAGGGTGACAAAAAAAAATGTTTACCTAAAATTTCATTCACTGCCTTCCCTTAAGTAAATCCTACTGTTATCTCCCCTATCAGCAGTTTTGTTCTGGTGATTCAAAATTCACATTGAGCTGTTGCAAAGAGTAATATATTCATTGATCATAACCACGCAGTTTCAGTAGAGTTCATTTGTTTCTTGCCATAATTTTTATTGTCATTTCAGTGCATGTTTAGGCTAGAATTTCCTTCCTTTTTTTAGAAGGCTGATTTGTAAATCAGCATGTGCAGAAGTTTATCGCATTTTAGTCTTATTTTAATGTAGACATAAACTTGGTATTGTATACTGGTACCTGAAGAGGGATGAATAGTAGACATCCGGCATAAGGTATTTCCTGAGAGAGAGGTCCTGGTCCTGTTTCTACCCAGGAAACGTGCTTCGTTCCCCGCTATGGGATAGGCTCCCACTAAAGGCTAGGCAGCAAGGGGATTTTAACATCAACTGATTATATAAAAGAGACTGAAAATCTGATTTTGTAAGTCATTCTGCTAAATTAATGAGGTGAGAATGTGGTGAAATGATTTGATGCTTATAATTAGGAACATCTCTCTCTTTTCCTCCCACCTGTTCTTTTTACCAGGTGTTTTCTTTGGCAGGGACTTAAGGCTAGGCAACGACGCTGGGGATGAAAAGCTCCAGCTTTGCGCTCATAGGATGACTTTAATATCTGTAGGGTTATGTCATGTGGAAGGTTCAGCTGTCTGTAGTAACCCAGTTTCTATGGTGATCTGTTTTCTGCTTTCTCTTT